GGTTGGGGGGGGGGGGGGTGGAGAAATTCAACCAATTCGCACAATATCTTTTTCACCATAGAAACCAAATTTTGAAATGTCAGTATTAAGCATCCAAGGCATGAAGTTTTAAAGCCACCATCCCACATTAACTAAGGAATAGTATAGTTATCTTAAAAGTAAAATCCTTACATTTGCCAAGAAAACAAGCTTAAATTTTGTCTGCTAGGCTTCCCTACTTTTGAGTCTATATACACATAAACACGTGTCATGTTCTTCTATATTTTTAAAGTCCTACTTGGAATTTAAAAGTCTTACTGGAAAAGAAAATTCTGAATTCCAAGTGTTGAACTGGAATTGGTTCATGTATGGTTTTGGGTTCCATAAGCCACTCTGTTAACCTTTGACTTACTCCAATTCAAAGCATTGTCTCCACTGTAGTTTCCTCAGAATGGAAGTTCTTGACAGAGGCTTATTGTACAAACTCAGTATGGATTGTTTTCTCCTCAAGAAAATTTAGGTTATGTTATACCACAGTGATTGCAGAAGGATGACAGTGTCACCTTGCCAGGCTTCTGGCAATTTTTTAAGTCTTCTAAGTTGCGGACCTCAGAAATCCATTTAGTTCCCCAGAGAATATAAATTTTAGTACTTGCATGTGGATTTAGCTCGCAACTGAATGTTTCCTGTTCAAAGTTATTTTTCCTCCAAACACAGGCACAATACCTATGAAGTTTCAGAGAAAATCTGCAGATTTCTCTTCTTAGAGTAAGGAAGAGAGATGCTACAGGGCCATGTAACAAGGGATGGAAAAAAATTATTTTTATACTGATGTGTGCTGTAAATCACTGTCACAGATAATCAGTTTTTCTCTGCTACCACCCCAGGCCTCCTATGATTCTCTATATGACTGGCTGCAAATGCACAGGGCTCCACATCTCCTATCCCATCTTTTGTAAGGTTATCTTTCAGCCCTGTTCACTGTAACTCACAGCATACAGCCTTTCAATGCTGACAGTGATGAGCACAAAGCTGGCAGGAAGATGAGCATAAATATGGGATGAATGCTCACTTCAGCCTTTCCAGTTCAGCATTGTGTCTGTATCCTGTCTGCCACTTCACATGCACTCATCTGCATCCTCATCTTTCACTGTGTCCATTGCTTATGTATCCAAGGGCACTCAGGTTTCACTCAGGATGTTTTTATGTAAAAATGATGATACAGAAGATGTTCAATTGGCACAGAGCCAACTCAGCTCTGGCAAAGCTTGATATCCAATCTAATTCATAGGTAACCTCCACTTGCTAGAATCAAAAGAGCTACATGATCCCTAGAGAGCCCTTCCACAGCCATGTCTTTATCCCAGTATATCATCTTCTACAGGTTTTACTTTCCTTATCAAAGCTAGAAATAGCAATTTATACAATGTCAGCTTTCAAATCTTCCCAGTCCTCTAGTCAACTACTGAAGCCTTTTGTGAATTATGAAATAAGGTTAGTACTGGCACTCATAGCAACATAAAGAACATGTTCATAGATGCTTCTTCCTAGATTTGACCCTAAGAATATTGAAATAATTTTCCATGCCTATTTTGCAAATGAGAGAATGAAGACAGCTACAGTAAACTCTCTTCTGCAGAAGATGTGAAGTGGAAATAGATGCTCTCCTTCTACATGTCAGCTTACTTTTAGGACGATTACATTTGCCTTTTCATGACAGGGCTTCTGAAGTCAGGTTGGCTAACCTGCAACTTTCTCCCTGTCTACTTTAACTTATGTTGTAGTTTTATTCTATGAAGTCACTAAAGGCGTATCTCATATGAATAAAAAAATCAGTAGTATTTAAAGAGCGCTTTAATACTTTGAAAATAAATTTAAATATATACTGACATTCATGCAATGTATATTTAAATTTGCATTCATACTCAAAGCTATTGTAATGATGTGATTCTGGACTCTGAAATATGTAGGCAGGGAAAAAATTACAGACTAATGGCAAACTTACTAGAAAATGAAAAAAATTAAGTTTATATTAAATATCAAGAAGTCCTATATCATTGTGTATCAAGAAAAATACACTGTTACACATCTTCAGCTTTGACTGAGGTTCCTTTGTGTAAGTTGCTAAACTAGTGGGGAGCTACAGATGTTGCAAACACTTCAAAAGCTGCAGGGAATGCGTTGTGCTCTGCTGAGGCTCACTTTCTGCATGTGCTGCCAGCTTACAACTTGGGCACTGAGGTCATGCTCTGACTGCACACTGGAGTCAGGTTTAGAATCTGTAGTGCAAAATCAAAAATTGCACATTGTAAAGGCTGCATTTACACCCTGTTGAGTGCTCTTAATTTTACAAAACAGTATTTGTATGATTACACCTGATCTTGATCAAGAAGGTATTGCCAGTGATCTGGAAATGCATTGACCCAGTGTTAATGATGGGGAGATTGCAGCCTAAACCAGACATTTGTCAAGAGCTTTGATACTTTTGCTTCTTAATAGATGCAGAATGCCAGAAAGGAAACTGAAAAACACCAACACCAGGACAGATAGAAAAGGCACACTCTGAAACTTGCAGAAGTGGAGGAATACTCTGCTTCATGTTACATGAAATGGTGGAGAGGTCTTCTTAATCACAGCATGAAAAGAGAGGATACAAGACTTTCTGACTTACAGAGGGCTGGAACACCTCACATTTTGGAGGCTAAGTTTCTGTATAGCAAATCACATGGAAAATCTGAAACAGAAGATACTAATTAATAGGGGGTCCAGGTTCAAATCCTTAAAAATTTACTTGGATTTTTACTTTGAAGAAGTGAAGACAATTTTGACCCAGAAGATGCAAAAGAATATGAACTGCTTGCAATAAGGAAGAAATAAAGCATGTGGAGATGAAAATCAGCATACACGGAACAGTTCTGTGCAGTGCAATAAACAACACAATTCCTGGCCTTCAAGAGAATGCAGACACTGTAAGTAATTACACCATGTTGTAAGAGTTTACTGGTGCCCGGAGGGAATGAAGAAACAGGAATTTTAGATGTCATTGCATCAGAAGATGAATTAACCACCAGTCCAAAACAAATTAAACATTTATCCATTTTAAGTTGGACACAGGTGCACAAGCCTGTGTGCAGCCAGAAACCACAATATTATCACTGAAAAAAAGGCCAGAGTTAGTAGAAGGTAGCAGTCAGGGTTAAATAGGACTGGTTTTTCACCTATTAAGAAAGGAAAGAAGGAAGGAAATTATTTGGAAATGTCACAATTTCTGAACCAAAAAGTGTTTATTTTTGTAAATTATCTTCTCGAGAAGAATCCTGGTTGAAAGAAACAAAATACTGAGGAAGAGTTTAAGGATGTTTTCCAGTAGATAACCTATTTCTCAAAGGAGTACCTGCCAGGTCTGGCAGAATTGACAGTTCACACTTCCAGCAAAGTTCTGCTTACTGTGAGGGATCCACACAGGATCTCTTAGCTGGCAGAAATAAGCCTGTGAGCAATACCAGAAGCTTTGTGTTGTGCCAGACATTATCAAAGATATAGATTTAAAACCTCACAATTTAATTTGAGCTTAAGGAACAGAAGCAAGGGATGAACATGGCAAACCACACGGGCAGTCAGCCCCTTGCAAGGGAGTGTCAGTCTCCTGTAATTCCCAGAAGCAAGTGTAGCTTGGAGGAGGAGCCTATGCCCACTGAGCCACAGCCGGAGTGTGCCCCTTTGCCCCACCACCCAAGAGTCTGAGCTTAAAAAGTGGTGTTTGAGGTGGCTCTGCAGGAGATGCATCTGAGAAGTTAGAGATGCATAAAGACCCAAGCTTAAGGTGTCAGGAGCCTGAGGGCAAAACTTCTTGGACTGCCCACAGATACTGAAGAGAAGATGATTCATATGTATGCAAGCAGAAATTTAAAACAGCTGTGGGCATTTCTGGGATATCTCAAACTACGTCTGTTTATTGGCCATTCTAGTGAAAAGAGAGCGCTCAGGCCTAGGGAGAAGAAGGTCTGCAAAGCTTGTAGCCGTATGTCTACTTACAGCTCTTATAAAAAGATGACCTCATCTATGCTTTCCTCTTTGGAATAGGAAACATTTGGAATGTTCCATGGCACCACGGTCCTCAGGATCCAGATGCCCTTCCCAGTGCTGCCCCCACCCTGCCCATGGCCTGTGATGCCATGTGAGCCCCCGGCGTGTGCCCCAGCAGCTCTGAGCAGCATTGCTGCCCAGCTGCCCACACACTCCTGCAGCAGGCCCATGGCTCAGTCCCATCCCCAGCAGCGCCCAGCACCCCGGCATAGGCTGCCCCAGTCTGGGATGGTGGGGTGGGGTCTGGAGCCAGGCCCTGCCCTGCTCTGCTGCACCCCGGCACACGAAGCAGCTCCAAAACCAGGATAAATGAGAGCCCAGCGCCTCTCTAGGGTTGCTTAGTAGGAGTTTCTCTTGAACCTGTGTCCTCGAATTTCTGCCTATGAATAGAGACATGATCTCTAGTCTAGTTATGCTCTGCTGGTACCTTACAAATAGCTGGGATGATATTTTGAAATTTTTTGCTGCATTAACATGATTTTCAGTTTACTTTCAAGAGGGTAAAAATAGTAGTAAGGAATTAAAACTTCAAGAAGTACTTTTATAATCAGAACCATAATCTGTAGGCATGAGGACTTGGTTCATGGCTTGCTGTTTAGCTCGAAATGGTGCAGGAGTGATAAGAGGTCTCTGCCAGGCTTTAGTGCAAAACCAGAAAAGGAGTTGCTGAACAAAAGATCTCGTTGAGAAAACAAAATGCATATTAGCTGGTATCTGAGTGGTTGGAGTTGAAATTCCTTTTCCCCAGAGGCAATCCTGTTGGTATCACATCTGAATTTCAGGGACTGAAATTTTATGCACCCAGGAGATCTGGGTACTACTAAGTAGTACTGTTAAGGGATGGCAGAATCAAGCATCCATACGTGTAGTAAATCATCTGCATCTCACCAGTGAGAAAAACTCCACAGACAGGATTTGCTTTCAATAGTCTTTCTTATTATTTATACCTACCTCCTTATTCATTGTAGAATTCCCAAAAATATTGTCTACAATTTTTCTTGCAGAAAATTAGCAAGGACTACTGCAGGCATTTAAAATATGAGTAGCAGGTGTTACTGTGTCATAATCACATAATAACTTAGGCTGGAAGGGACCTCTGAGGGTCAGCCCCAAAGCAGGGCTAACTCCAAAATCAGCCAAAAGCTAAGATGAAGAAGATGTAGCAGTCTCCATTTGTCATGTGATTGGCCAGAATACAGCAGGTGGTGGGGATACAGTCTAGCCTTCTTCACATCTCTTGGGCTGCTGAGATCACAACTGTAGAAAAAAGAGAAGGAAAAAGGGAGACAATTAAACACCTGTTTCTCCTGGCCAGATTCTGAAGGGATTGTTTGCTTCACATGTGTGTTGTGTGGACTGACAAGGTCTCCCAGACAAGTGCAACAGCCTTGGGCAGGGGCTCCCAGTTCCATCCCCCTACTCCTAAATTAGATGTATCACCAGGCACAGACAGCACGGCTTAGCCCTGCCAACAAGAAATACATGTGCACATGCCAAGAATAGGAGCTACAGATATTAATGGAAAGTCTGTGATGAAAACAAGAGTGCCTACAGAGTTCAAGCAAATCCAAACTCTGTTAGCAGCTGCGCAGAGATTCACAGGATTGTACATTGGCACTTACATGTGACCTAAATTTCACCTGGAATGGTGTCCTTTTCTGGTGTCTGCAGTGCCACATTGGTACTGGTTGGAAGAGCACCGCGCTGTGTTTATGCACTTTTGTCTCTGCAGGTCATTAGCAACATTTGATCACTGCACATTCCCTTCCAAATTCTATTTTCAAATTATAATTTACAGTTTCTGACCTAATATATGTGGAATCGCTTTTGTGAATGGCAACAAAAAACTTCTGCTTTTTCTTATAATTGTTAAATTGCTTGAGAATATGTTCTTCGTTTTTCTTAATTATTTTATCATTGCAAAAAAAAAAAAAAAAAGTCAGTTTTTATTGGAAAACCACTAGTTAAAGTCTTTTAAATTGCTTCTGCAAAGGAATTGTGTACTGCTTTCTATACCTCTAGCACCTGATTTGTGTGCCTAGAACACATGCTTCATTAACCCCTTTCACAAGCTAAGCATCTGCTGCTCCAAATGTAATGCAAATCACTTTTTAATGGTCACATTGACTAGATAGGAAATGCTTTTGTTTGAGCTATGACTTGTAGTTAATTAAGCCAATTAGCATGTGATATAAGCACTTCTGAGAAGACAAAGCCCAAGAATAGCTCTCAAAAAAAAGGTGGAAGGCTTTCATGCAGCTATAAATGCTACAGAAGAGAAAAGGAATGAAGCAAGAGGAAGTTTAAAAATAAATTCTAAATTTATTCACTACTTTATCTCGTTTACAGCAGTCTCAGCTGGTCTTCTCTGAGAAACATATTTGTGGGCCCGAGAATCTACTTACTAGGTCTGTGTAAGGAGATAAAACCAGACTTTTTACTCAGCAGAGATGATGGGCAATAACATTTCTGCTGAGATCTTGGTTATATCATGAAATTATCTTTTATCTCAACTGCACTTTTGACTTCCTTCCAAAAGAAGACTTTTCTGCTTAACACCAGAAGAGAGTCTCAGAGTCTGGCTGTTAGGGTAAAGACTGCCCTTTCTTCAAAGTAACAACCAAAAAGACTTCTGTGCCTTTTAAATGGAAATGTATCCCATTCCTTTTAGCACTGTTTCACAAAGTAATGGGTAACAGTGAGACATTTTATAATTTAACCACCCTAGATATATGCAGTGTATGCATGAAGTCTCAGGAATAAGTTGCATTGGTCTTTCAGAAATAAAACCAAATTGGGACCATGTATAATTTGAAATATGCAATGACCAAGAGGTGTGAGTTATGATAGATTCTTTTCAGTGTGCATGATACCTGAATTTCATTTGCTGGGAATTTTCAATGATTTTAATAAAACTGTTTTTACTCAGTGTAAAGTAGCAAATCTTTTGTGGTCTTTCCTAAAACAGTTTGAACCTTGTTATTGTTTTGCCAGTTTCTTCTTGTTTTATATCCTGGAATGAAGCATGATTCTCAAAGAAAAATCTGATTCTGTCAGATAAAGTAGAAGTTGATTAGGATGCTAAAGTACTTAATTGCTATTGGTAATTAATTTTTATGCTCTTCTATTAATTAATTAGAGAAAAAGTATCAAATCAGCTGTCAGGATTTTGAACAAAGGAAATGAGCTTTTATGCCTACATTGCATTCTTACACTTGCATTGAAAATTTGCTAACTTCTGTTGCAAAAATTCAGGCTTGAAAATTGCTCCCTATCCAGTGTTCCCTCCCCATTATGTAATTTTGTTGCATCCTTCCTCTTTTTTTCCCCTCTTTTTCTTCTTTCCACATGAATATACACATTACTATTTAGCTTAATTAATCATAAGCTCACAATTGGCTTTATGAGACTGGATCTGACACTCCTCAACTGATGTACAATTTCATACAAATACAAATGATTCATTGTGTGACAGACATCTTTTGCAAGAGGAAAGCTTGGACAATTCTAGTTGTTCAGTCTTCATCTAAAAATGAAATAGACTCTGTTCTAGTTCTTTCATGTACATAAAGGTGCCTTGCAAAGAGATCTTTGGTCTTACTTATCAACTATGTTCCATAGTTGTTCCACAGCTTCCTTTCTGTTTTCCTTATGAAGATGTTAGAATGGCCATCATCATTTGATCTGTAATTTTACAGTGCTCAGTAGCAATGGCTAAAAGAGTTTCTGTTCCTCATCCTTTGGGTTTAGGAATGGGTTGTTTTGATTTCTCTAAAGGTAAATAGAGGTTTTTTGGTGGGTTGTTGTTTTTTTTTTTTTTGAGGAACATGTCCTAATCAAAGAGGTTATAGTGAAGATGCAAGTCCTCTTGAAAATTCTTATATGATTTTTATAGAACAGTTAATTTTCTTTCCTCACAGAGTTATCCTTGATCTTATCATTCAGTTCTGCAAAAGAGCAAAATACTCTTCTCTGAGAAACATAGACTTATGACTTATATTGACTTGAAGTAAAGGGAGGGGACTCACTGCACTACAGAATTGTGACCAGTATTTGGTAAATCACTGTTAGTCTCTCAAACCTTGCCCATAGACACAGTTACATTGTATTTAAATGTGTTAAGTTCAGTAGCTGACAAGATTCTGTTGGTCAGTGTAATTTATTGATGTTCTAAGGTACTTTCTATTACCAAGCCATCTACTAGATAAAAGACTTTTCATTTTTAGAAGGTCTACAAAATACTAAACTGAACCTCTGTTCTTCTCTGAAGGATCACACAGTGCAAATTAGTTTGGATATTTTACTCATGGTGCAATACTGCTTGCAAATCAGGATGCTAAAAAATAATGTACTTGTAGTTGTTATGTTACCTATTGACAATACTACTGTACAAGAAAAATGTTTGGGCATTCTAATGCACTACAGGAAATGACATTAGGAAAAATAATTACTTATTTTTAATATCAGCTTCAATTAGAAACAGACTTACATTATTAAGGAAAAAGATAGTCTGGAAGAAAATATTTTAACCTGCTGAGTAGGAAATTAAAATCAGCACAATGTAAAAATCACCAGCAAAATAGTTCATCATATTCAAAGCTAGTAACTTTTAATAACACTCTTGCATATCCACACTTGAATTTTCATGCCAGCTATTCCCATAGTGCAGCAGTTGCACATCCAGCTGAGACATGCCCTAGGATTTGTGTTGGGCAGCAGCTGGGAGTAGATGTGGACCATCCCTATGAAGTCACTGCTGCTGGTTTCCTCCCTGCACCTCTCTGACTCTGCATTAGTGCAAGAGGCTGGGTAAGAAGGGGCTCATGGAGGTGACAAAGGCCATCAGCCAGCCAGAAGGGGTTCAGAGATTACATGAGTCATGACAGGTATCTACACCAGGGAATTGGGTGCTCCGACAGTTCAGCACACCCAGCACCTGCTGGTTTTGCAAAGCGTTGGATGACCCTTTTGCACAGCAGACCTTACGTAAACAACTGTGTGCTGTTAAATTGCTGGCTCTCCTTCCATATTGACTAGCTTTAGAGACTAAAGGTTGAATTAAACAAATGTTTTATTCCACCGTGGCTTACACCACTATGATATCTTTACTTCCAGATGTCTGTGTTTTCTAAAGCTTCCCATTTGCCATTAATCTTTCTCTTACAGGCTTTCCAGAAGAGGTTTGAGTCAATTTGAAATGTGCACATAATAGGATAACTAAAGCCATTTAGCTGTTCATACCATGTAGTTTTAGCAAAGAATCAGTATTTTGTACGTAGCAACACTTAAGGACCAAGAAATGATATAATATTCCGCTCAAGCCTACCTATTTTATCTATACAGAGGCTGAGATGGACTGTTTTCATGCAGATTGAGAAGTCTGAATGTGACAATTACTCAGATTAAGATTTAGGAATATGACAGAGGAAATTTTTAATGGTATTTTTCAGCACCCTGGCAACAGCTCTCATCCCAAAAGAGAAATGCTTCAGATGCAATTAAAGATTAGTGCTTAATAAAGAATTCTCTTTCCAAAGGAACTGGATAGACTAGTAGATGTGGTGGCTGCAGAATTGCAAAGTGGACCACAATAATACATAGCAGTTTGGTTTAAAAAAATCAAACAAACAGTCACAGGAAGACTGCTTTTCATTTGGACATGCATTTGCAGTAAAAGTTTAAAGTCCTTCATAGAAACCTTTTGGTGTATTACAGACTATATTTCATTCTAAACTGTCAAGTGATAAAAATGGTTTCTATAGTATTTTATAACTTTGTTCATTTCAGATTCCATGAATCCTGAATTTGTGAGTGTCTCTCACTTCTGAGTCAGGAAGGACTGCCAGCTGTGACTGACATGTAACTACCAACTCCATGTTAGTGATTGAACTGCTAAAAGTCAATAGACAAATTAGAGCTTCTTTCTAACTGCACAGTGACCTACATGTAAAGAATTCTACCCAGGGTAGGCGCCTGAGACTCAGGAAGAGAAATATTTATAAGTAGTAAGTTGGAGGAAAATAATGATCAAAATTTTTCATGCTCTTACATGCAAACACTGCAGAGAAACAAAGTGACCAGAAGTAAGAAAGTGTTAAAGCCATTGAGCCAGATGCTGTTTTGCTGTTCAAGAATGGTAGCTCTAGATAAGTCATCAGCAGATGAGATGTTCAGATATGTACATGCACAGCTAAATTTGGTAATGATATTATCTAATTGATAAAACTTTTAGAGAGGTTTAGCTATGACTAGATTACCAGAAAGATAGTGTGATCAGGTCACAGATGGTTGTTTTCTTAGTCTTTATTAGTGTTCATCACTGAGCACACCTCACACCAGGAAGTGTGATATCACCCTTCCTAGCTATTGTTAACTCTGTGGTTTAGATTAGATTCCTACCTTGAGGAACTAAAACTTGTGGGACCAGGCACAAAATGGTAGACATTAATTTAAAATGGTAATTTAGGTTCACAATTCGGAGTTAATTTTAAAAGAACAAAAACAAAGGGTGGGAATCTGAAATAACAGTCTTCACATGGTTGCAAGTGATGGTTAAAGGATGGGTGATTGAGTAAATTAGTGTGACTTTCTCATGTATTAAGCCACGTTCGTCTAACTTAAGTGGGATAGTAAAGAAATGCCATGGAGTAGGGGAATTTTAACGCAGAAGATGGAATTTTTATGTACTGACAAACCCAGATGCAGTCTACTTTTGTTTTGGTTTCTTTTCAGAAGATAAGCTATAAAATAGTTTCACAAATTAAACTTATTTTTTGTTTTCTGGCAAGGTAGAAAAGTTTGGCTGTGGGCTAAGAAACTCTCTTCTTCCATTTCTGCTCCTGCAGAGTCATATGATAGACATTAGAATATTTTTAAGGCCAGACCTTGTGGTGTGAAATCATCTCTGGAGAAGATCACAAGGGAAACTTTCTCTTTTTGTATAATGTATATATCCCAAACAAAGGAGAGTCAGTGCCTTGCTAGCATTCCACCACTGGTGTACAGATGTTACAAATCATGTTTTTATTCATGAATATTCATTGCCTAAACAGTAGCAGGCATATGAAAGTCTGAATGGGAAGCTTAATAGGAACAATCTTGCTTCTTCTTATTATTATTATTTATTATTTTTAAAGTTATTTAATTTTAAAAGTGACTTAAAACTCTCTTTTAAAGTCTTTGATGACTTTGAACACTTGTATTATGGGGTATTTTATTTTATTATGGGGTATTATGGATATTACTGAGATTTTTTTCCTGTTCTAAGTGCAGACTATCAATCTAAAGTAACTGCAACGTCTTAGAACAGTGTTTTTGCACTAACTTCTACAATGTTTCATGGAAAGCCCTGAAGGGCCTTGACTCATATCCTGAAAGGAAGTGGCAGTAACAATCTGTCATGGTTTAAGACAATTTTAAAAAACACTCTAAAACAAGTTACCTCCCCTTGGTTCCAACCAGTCCTCTTCCACAAATAAGGAACAGGTACCAGCAGATAAAAGTGAAAATAAAACCCCCACAACCAAATAGTTTACTAATAAGAAAAACTGCAACAGGCAAAAAATGCCAGTAAATAATATCTAGATACAAAACTGCTAAATCTCAGGAAATCCCTGAGAACAAAGTTACTCAAATTGTTGGGGCACTGTCCCTCCCGAGCTGGCGGCTCCGGCTGCTGGCAGCACACAGGGAGAAAAGGGAAATGGCGGCCGGCCCTGCCCACAGAATGGCAGCCCCCAGGGGTGACCACATGGCTTGAAGGGCAAAAGGAAAATGGCAATGACTCTCCACCCCAGGATGGCGGCCAACACAAGCAATTACCTCCTTTCCCCCTGTACCACTCACATGCCCCGTGTGTGCCCAGTCTGTGCGCAGAAAAGTGTGCTGCAAAAACACTCCTTTGTCCACTATAGCCTCCTTACGGGTTCTTTAAAGGAAATGTTCCTTACCTCTTCCCTGCTGTGACCATTTTCTTTTTTAAGAAAACAAAACCAAGCCAAACAAACTCACAGATTCACAAGGATACTTTGTGTGCAGCATGGAATCATCCTGGGGATGCAGCTCTGCCCCAGGTACCATTTGATGGCTCTTTAGAGGTGTTGCATATTTGAAATCTTCTTTGCCATCCTACAATAATCTTCAAGTGCCCTTGTTGTAATCTTTGAGATTATTTTATACTGGATGATACAGGTTGAGTTAATGCACAGATAAAGGACTAACCTGAAATTAAGCTGTGGAATCATTCATGAACCTTAATCTCTTAATCATGCAACAGTTGCAGGATTGTTATGGTTTGATATTGGTACTATGCCAGCACCCCCATGAAAATGTAATTTGTTAATCGAATGTTGTGAAATGTGATTGAGAATAGAGTAAAGCAGGCCAAACTTAATAATAAGGGGAAAAAAAAAAACTTTATCAAGCTATTATTACTATATTACTATAAAAGGGAAAAGAAACAAAACAAAAAAAAAAACCACACACAAAAATTTAAAATGAAAACTTTTAAAAGTATTCTTCCTCCCACTACCTAACTCTGATGAATTACAGTGAGATACAATTTGGACCTTAATCAGGTTTTTACTCTCTAGACAATTGATATTTAGTCTATTGAGGGAGAGAGGAGCTCCTCCTGTGCCACAGGCCCCCCAAGAAACACCACTGCTACATCTTGTGCTTTTATGTCACACATGGCACTGCTTGGAGAAAAAGGTTTGTTAATGGCGACCCTCTCTTTTTTATGTACAGTGCTCTTATTATTAATGTATGGATGGACAGACTGTTTTTAGGATTTTTTTTTAAGGATGCCTTGCTAAGATGGGAAAAGATTAACAGTTCAGTTTTTCATTTTTAGGACCACAGTCTCCCCCATATTCCCCTGGGGCTGAGGATCTAAGAACAGAGATTTTTTTTCTCTTCTTTTTTCCTGAAGACAGGGGGTACTATTACAAATTTCTCTAACTTTTTTCTGTTTGTTTTACTTGTGTTTTTTTCTCAGCTGAAGCATGGTCTCTTTGGTTTATTGGCATTTTCTTAAAATATAGTTTCTTTTGGAGGAGAAGATTGGTTCAGTCTGTGGCTATTAAGAAAAAGTCTAGCTAAAAGCTACTCCATCATCTCCTCTTACTTAGAATTTCTCCTTTTAATATCTCAGGGTCTAAGCTGTTTCTCTTCTTCTTTTTTAAACTGAGGAGGAGAAAAATTTTATAAAGCTTTTATTTTTCAGAAAGGGTTAAAAGTCCTGACTCCCAAGGATGGCTCGCTGTCAGGCTCCAGCTCCCACAGGCGGCTGGGCACCTTGTGGCCCTCCCGCTCTTCTCCTTCCCCGCGGCGAACTGCTGACAGAACTGCCGCTGTCTCTTTTTCTCTCTTGGGAGAGAGAGACTCTGGAGGGAGAACAGAGACATCTTAGATTTCTATACTCTTTTATTTGCAGGGGGCCAGCCCGGTTTTAGTCTTTTTACTTTTTGGCCTACCTCAGTCAGGCCATGGGCCTTCCCCTCCCTGACCCAGCCACGGCCAGGCAGGGGAGAGTTTTGCACTGACCGCCAAAAGAGAGCGAGTTCTCCTGGGAATTCTGCTTTTAACCCCTCTGTGTTCTCAGAGGCATGTCTACCTTCAATTGGTCAATATCTAAATTGACCTCTTCCTTTCGAGAAAAATTCTTTTTCTGTGTCAAACTACAACAAGGATTTAGAAACAAACTTGGTTTTCTCTCTTCTTTCTTGTCCCTTGATTTTTGTTTTTATTGCTTTAAAAGGGAATAGGAACATGTAGAAGAATAAAGCTGCAAAATAGGAATGTAAAGGCAACATCAATTCTTTAATATATTTTGTCCTGAACAAAATGTTATTAAATTCCTTTTTTTCTTGGTGCTCTACCAATGCCAAATGACTTTGTTCAGGCCTTGCATGACATCAAATGTGCTTGGAAGAGATGCAGCATGTCAGATGTTTTAATCTTGAATCTATTGAGGTGTTCTAGGCAAATATCACAGTCCCAGCTACTGAATCTAATGCAGCAGTGGGTGCTGTCAAACCTCCTGGGAGGGGATATAAATAACCTTACTAACTGGACAAGGAAAAAGAAAGGCAGCCTGGAAAAGTCTTTTGTTCCAGAAAGAAATTGAAATAGTAGCACTGTTTATACTGACTAAGGTATTCCCATCTTCTAAATCATCTGTCATTTCAGATTTTGAAAAGAGTCAGAAAGCTGCAAAAAAACATATCTGAGTGCAAGTCATGGATCTTGTCCTTGGTGTCATAATTTTGTGACACAATTTTCTTTCTGCGATAATATTGGGAAGTGAGAATGACAGCTGTATGGAGAACCTATGGGCTGCTGATGAGCTGTTGATAGCATTTTGCACAGAGAAAATACTTTCCAGCATGCTTCTATACTTTATCGCATGCTAAATCTTGGAGTTTATAATTTAGAAATTAATAATGAAGTTCTTTCACAAAATGAAATTACAGATAGTATATTTTATTAAATATGCACAATTTTCATCTGGGTAAGCAACAGATGTGGCCAAACACCTGGAGTTACACTGGACAGCATTTCAGCAGAAATGTTCCAATGCTATTATAAATCTGTGAAAGAGGCACACCCTTTTTGATAGACACTGTTTTTTCTAGACTCAAGTGGTTTATTGTGCAGCTGGTTATCTGAAACCTTCCCAAATTAGTCCAAGTTAACAGTGCAGAAAAATATTTTATTTTTTTCTCCTTGAAATACTTACATTCTTTGCAGTGCTGTGCTTTTGTTAAACCTTGTATGACTATAGAGCAATGCACAGGAAGCAGAGGTCACCATATGAAGTTCCACCTACCTCCAAACTTCAGCTGGGAAGTGGGCTGGGCACCAATCCACATAACATTGGCTCCAATTGATACGAAACTCTGAAGGCCTTCTAGTCAGCAAACGGCTGCATATGGTGGGAGGAACACTGTAAATGCTGCAGCAATAATTGACTTCTGGGAAAAGAATACAAACATTGAAGTGTTTGTAATTAATAGCCATTTCAAGGTGTTTGCCATTAATTGGAAACCATTTGCAAACTGTCCTGCTTAACTAATCATCCTATACTAGTCCCTGTAATTTGTCCTGTGTCTCTGAGAGAAATTGCAAAATGTCTCATCCATGCCCTTTAAAAGGCATTAATAATAAAGTGAAATCCAAATGTGTTAATTTTAGCTCTGAAGTAAAGCTCAAGCTCCATGCCGAGCACAATTACAAATAACGTATGAACTACCATGATGCTAACTACAGATTTCCAGCTGGTGAAAAAGTGGGTAAGCTATGTTTAAGAGCACATATACTTACGAAGTTTAAAATGAATTACTTATCTTAATGTATTTTGCCTTCCTAGCAGTGCACAACTTCTTGCTGATACCACAGTGTACTCAGCTGCAATTGGGTATTTTTATGGATAGTCTGTAGAAGGAAAGTTCTCAGACTAAGGACAACAATATCCACAGGATTTTAATATATCTACAAAATATAGGGTAAACTGATTTTGTTTAGGAGGAACTCAATAATTCAAATGCAATAGCCGTGAAAATGTTGCTAACACAAAGTTGTCTGAGTGTTAAGTTTTCTAAAAATACTGGAGTGAAGCATTTTGTATGTAGTCTTTTGTAATTCTTTGATTGAAGAGGCTTCTCCACTTTTTTTTTAAACCAGCATAAGATGAAAGAAGAGTGAGTTTTAAACCAAAGTCAAGGTGTTGCCTCATCTCATAAAGATGACAAAATTGCAAATGCAGCTGAAATTTTATCCATTGTGTTCTCCACCTGACTGGTGCAGAAGCACAGCAGTCAGGCTGAAGAAGAGGGAGAGACCATACATGTGTCAGTGAGGAGCCTTGAGAGAGCAGTTGCAAAGACACAGATTAAATCTGAGATGTGAAGCCACAGCTAATTTTTGAAAGATTTTTTAAAATGGTTTGTGAGTCAAGTGTTTTACCAAAGACAGTGGCTGTTTTGTATCTATTTTATGTCTGAGAACAGAGGGTTGCAAAACCTAATGACTGATAACAGTTTTGTTCCACTGTCTCTGAACTTCTGTTTTCAGTGGCCTTTTTTTGGCCATTTCAGTAACCCCAAATTATACCTCACTGGAACATTCCTTTAAATGAAGGTAAAGCTGGATCAGCACAGTCTGTTAACCATCAGTTAGACATATAGAAATAGCTGGTGGTATGTCTCCTAAAATAAGAAGGGGGACACAGGTGTTTCTGTTTTTCCACTGAAATACCCTCACTGAATACCTGCTGTATGCACATGGCATCTCCACTCAGGTGTTCTTTAGACAGTGGGTTGCACTACACACTCATTTTTGTAGTACATACTACACAGGATAGACAGGAGGAGACACAATTTCTACATGGGAATTAAAGGAAGATTGAACAGGCTAAAGGAGAAGTGAATTGGATGGGGCTTAGGGATATGGCAAACATCCATTCCAGCCATAAGTGCTTTAGGGTCCTGGTATTATTACTTCTTCTCTGCCTCTTTGGGGTTTTATTAAGGTCAGGCAGAGACAGAGGAAACCCCATACAGCACAGGTACAATACAGTAACTTTGCCAATAAGCCAGAAGTCTTGCCTGAGGCCAAAGCAAGCAGGAATAGACATAGTTATAAGCTTAACAATTTGAAAAAATTAATAGTTCAATGCATTTTCTGAGTGAAGAAAACTGGGGCTCTTTTTTGACTGAGCCTGCATCTCTCTCCAAAGAAGTCCTCACCAAGTTGTCTTCTAAAACTCTTTTGAGGATTGTAGCACCAACAGGGATGATGTGGCCCAGCTGTTGTAAACAATAATTAAAAAACATAATGAAAATTAATCCAATGGGACAAATGCAGTAGAATGCCACAGAAATTAAATTACTCAATCTGATAAAATTAGTGTTGTAAAATATTGTAGAACTACTTTCCAAAGAGATCTAAATTCAGTCTAAATAATTTAATGGAGAAATACGTCCATTCTGTTAAAGGTGTATTCTAGTTCTACACTGACTGTATCAAGATTTCTCTATAAAGAGAGAAAAAGATTCATTCACATTTAAAATGATCTTTCATCCTTATGACAGTTCTTATGATGCTTAAAATTTCCTGTAGTTTCACCCTTTCTCCCCAAACTAGAAACTATTAATGTATTTTGCATTCATTTACTATACATTCCCTCTGGTCCATATATACATTATAATATTTGCAGGCAGAACATTCTATTTAACTAGTAATCTAAAGTTTCACAGCTTGCCAAGAAAACTAAAGGGGTTTGAGTGGTGGAGATTAAACTGAAGAAGAAATTCCAGCACTGTAAATTGTAAAACTTTACACCTTACAGCTGCCAGTTGTAATCCACAAGGAGACAGTGTTCTTAAGCTCCCAGGAACTTAGACTGGGCCATTTTTTAGCAAATACTTTTGTTGTTCCTTCAGAAAGTGAAGAAAAGGGAAGACAGACGTTCCAAACCCCAGAAGAACCCTTACATACAGAGTATGTAGCATTCATGAGGAGTTACTTTGTCCTTGAGTGTGGAAGGATTGTGGTTATTTGATAAGATCTGTTAAGATTACACTTTTCTTGTTATTGTAGTTGAAATATAACAGCTGAAATGTTACACAGGCTAAGTCATACTAAGCCTGAGAGGATTTTCACAATGTAACATTTACATAAGATAAGGACATGGTTGTTTCTAGTTCTTTTTAACTGAAATACCTTCATGTTACTATTACCACATTATTTCTGTCTTAAACCAGCTTTTACCATAAGATTAAATGTTTTTTTTTTTTTGAAATCCATAACAAGGCTTAGTTTAATAGTCCATTTTCTTAATAACTTTAAAAAATTAGACAAAATTCATGAAGCAGTTAAGATTCCTGAAGTTACAGCTAACTTGCAAAAGTAAAGCAATTCATTCAGCACTGAGGGGTGCTGGGCAGCACATTACTGTGCTGAGACCTTCAAAAAGGAAAACCACGTCTTCTTCTGAGTGAATGAGAGGCCCAACGATTGCCTCTTTTTTCCTCTAACAAAAGAAGGAGCAATGGAAAATTATTTTGGGCAGGCCCAGGGTAACCTGAATTTAAGAAGTGTGGCATGGCAAAGGAAAGAAGGGAAAGACACAGGACAATTCTATATATCTATTTATCATATTTTTTCTGCCTGCGTCTTTGTGGTGAGAGAGAGAAAAAGGGAAGAAAGAGGCATAAGAAATACCAAAGAATCAGTCAAAGGTCAAATCTCAAGATGAAATAGTCACGAATGCAGAGCTCAGAGGGAATACTGGAAGACAAGAGAGAAAAACACCTTCTGATCAAAACTGAGTAATAATGTGCTCCTTGCTAGTGACTATAGCTTATGAAGAAATATCTGGATCCAGAATGAATTTGTTTTCCTGATGCAAATACCCCAGAGAAGTCTCTATAAGGTCTAAATACCCAAGGTAAGCAAAATAACCTTGTGCTGTAACCCTTATATTTCATTAGTTATTGGGAAAAAAATATATAATCTTGACAGTCTTGAAAATAAGTGCATTAGACAAGAAAGGGGCTTAGTAATCGATGTGTTCACTAATTTTAAATGGTAGGTTATTTTTTCAAGTACTTTTTGATTGTGCTTTTAGATTGCACCTTTGTTTTAAACTGATTTTGATTTTTTCTGAGGTTTCTTCCATGTCCATTTCTATGGAACATGCTTTTTAATTGGTACTATAAAGCGCTTCTGCAAAATGAAATAGAAAACAAATACCTTGTGTTATGGAAGAACTCCATGAAGTCCCTGGACTTAGTTTGCTTTAATTCAGATTCACATACGTAGGTTTAGTGCTAGTCAAGTCTGTGAGCAGAATTAGAGATAATTCCTTAAACCATGCTTAAAAGATTATCATACCTTCCTCTGTCATTTTCAGTGCAGCTGTCACTTTATCACTTTTCTTCCAGTTAGAAAAGGGAGGCAAGATTCATATGGAAATCTACTGCTATTCTGTGGTTCTTTTGGTCTGAAGTAAGCCACAGGGAAATGGAAGTAGTAAACACAAGAGAAAATGGTGTCCTATGCTTTTGTTAAGTTGCATTTACTTGGTTTGACCAAGGAATAAGCACATGAAATCTAAGATCCAAAGGAAACTTGTCTGTATAATTCTGAAGTTTTCTTTTGGTACTGAAATCCTATGAATCTAAGTCCCTTCATGGCACTTTGGAGATAGGTCATTAAAAAGAAAAACCCTTTTCACTGGGCATGGAAGGAGCCTTTTCCCTCTTAGCAGTCTGTACGGTATGCCAGGAACCAGGAAGCCTGACAGTCCAAAGAGCCATCATTTAGTAAAAACATTTTCCTTGTAGGCAGTGAATGAACCTGCTAGAAATGTTCTAATGCTGAAATACAGTCCTTTCTAGAAGTCAGATTTTTTACACAAATTTCCCATCAGTATCACTCTAAGAGAAGGCACACTGCATTTATTGTGAGCACTAAAAAACAAGAACCAAAGTATAATTTGAATCTCATGTCAAAAACAGCTACTCATCGAGGAATTATCTCCTGGCAGTGGTAAGGAGAAATCTAAGGGAGACACAGATTTCAAAAGACTTCAGGATAGTTACACTTTTCACATTTTAATAGTTTCTGACACAACAGAGCTATCTTCCCTGCCATCACTTTTCATCATTGAGTTTCTCTGGCAGAAAAACTGCATACAGAAGAGCTCTTATCCTCTACCTGAAATCATAGATAAAGGGGCTTAAGTTGGAATATCTTAGACTCTAAGCATTTTTCTACTTAAATATTGGGAAAAGCTTGAGAGAATGCATAATTTTGAAATAATTTTGATAAGAAATTATAGATGTTTTGTAGAAAGCATTTTTAACATTTTTAACAAATTTCTGAGGGTTTAGGAAAATATGCTTTTTCTTAAAGTTTGCCAGGCTTACTAGTTCAGCAAGACCTGTTGAAAGTGTTGCTTTAATAAGTGACCACTTCTACTCAGCTCAGTAAAGAGTCATTATTTCTCCATTTATCTTTTCTCTGTCAAATTCAAAATCCTATCCAAGTTTAAGAGGTTAATTTATTTATAGTTGTTATTATTATTACTCTTGTTTGTTTTGGCTGTTATTTACAATGACTACATAGAGAACTTTTACACTGTTGAGATTTATAGTGTGCAAAACTTATGTCCGTTGAGATACCTACAGTACTTTGAGTGAGGAAGTGCTAGAAGAGGTGCGGTCAAGGAAACGAGGCTGGTACTCTGCTTTATTCACCTGATACAATTTAAGGGATAATTTGCTCATGTAACAGGTTCTGTATATTTTTAAAATACAACATTATTCAAAATATTTTCAATTTCTCAGTAGCTATGCTTCTGTCTCCTTTGTTTGATCCCCACAAACTAATGTCAGCTGCATTTCAGAAGTGACCCTGTAATAATTTTTCATCTTTTCGTAGAAGGATGCAAAAATTACTATATATACATTCTGAAGAAGTTCAGTGACATGCTGGAAAGCCAGGTGACTAGAAAGAATAGTTTCACAGCTGGCCCACTTTTATTAGCTTTTCTAATATGTGAATATCTCTTATTTTATTCAAATGAAGCATTTTCTCATGCTAATTGCTTTTAATTTTCACTTCTAATGTTTAATTCTCACAGTTGATTTTTCATCAATAGGCTTTCCAGAGTCATGCATGTTCTCTTTTTCTACAGCTTGTGCCAGTCACCAGATAAATTTGCAGGTTACCACAATATCCTGGATATGAAATAGTGCATTATTTCTTCCAAAGCTGCTAACCTGACATGGGTAGTTTAGGAGAGTATATCTTTGAAAAAAAATTGTCCGTTTTGGACTTCTTTTCCTTTTCTCAACACCACAGTGATCTGTCAGGTTTATAACCGTATTGCACATGGATACCTCTCCCTCCCTGCTGTTGCATCATGTATCATTTCCAAATGCTCTGGAAGTGCTCAGCAAAGCTGAACAATATCCCTTTTTTGAAGACTTATTGCATGTGGGTTCTAAAGCTGCACATATTTCCTATGGGTACTTGAGAGCTTTATCATGTCTCCCTCTCTTTTTCCTGTTTTAGTTCACCTGTGGCCCCAGATATCTTATTCAATACATTTTTGTTGTGGCTCATTACACTGACATTTGTATTTTATAGAAGTTTTCCTTTGATGTTGACTGTAAGATGAGTAGATTTCCTAATGAAATGTACATCAAACAGTTTGTTCACTCTTTCATGAGTGTTCTTTGGAGAGAAATGAGGGAGAAACATCTTGAAAATTAAATTTAAATTACTCTTGAAAATGAGTAATGAACAAACTGCTCATCTCAGTAAAAGCTCTACCCAATGGAAAAGGCCAGCTGGAAGAGAAAGCCAGGTTCAGCCCATGTGAGTGGGAAGATGGAAGGGGTTAGTCAAGCCCTTCCAGAGCCAAGAGCTTTTAGAGATTTTCGCACCGACTGTCATCACTCTTCCCTCTCCCCACTCCCTCCAGCTATCCTTGGGCTTTTTTTCCTTGAGCTCTTTTCAACCACTGCCACTTTTTTTTCCACCACTTTTTTTTTTCTGGAGCAGCAGGAGCCAGCAAGTCTTAGCCGTATTTGCCCGTTCTGGTCACGCTTGCTCTGCCTTGGCCCACCATCATGCACCATCACCTCTGTGGAGCACTGACCCCTCCACAGCTCACCTGTGCTTCCAGCTGCCTTTCTTCAATCTCCATTTCCTCCCATTCTGTTTGCTCTGTGCTGAATTTTCACCCAGCATCACATTCTCATTGACACAAACTCTTCTTTACGTTTCCCCTGGCAAAACAAAGGATTCACTGAGTGAATAAAAATTATACCTGAATGCATGTTCATGAGAGACAGTGAGAGGATAAAAAGTAAAGAACAAGGACAGTTACAAAAAGGCCCGATAGAAACAAAGGTACCCAGTAAATCCTTTTCAGACTTCACTAAGCTAGTGTGCAAGGGAAAAAGAGACATGGAAATAATTCAAACTGGGAAACAATAGTAGAAGAACCTTAATATGAGAGGAAAAATTCAGCGTTTCATTGTCACAGACTGGTTTATAGTACTACATGGAGGACTGAATCAGGAATTTACATTGAAGGAACATAAATTTAAAGGAGTATTATTAAGGGCCTATGAATATGGGAAAAGGGAACATGATAAGGTCATTATTCACCTGGAAGAATAATGTCTTTAATATTTTGCTATTAGACTCTGACCTAATATGTAACACATTACAGAAAAAAAATTATTCATTTTATAATAATTCTAGATAAAGAAATTCAATAGCATTTTTTGCAGGCATGTAAATATTATAGCTGAAATATAAAAGAAAAGTGGAGAAATGGGCAGATTATTTAGATCCACTGTTTTTGCTTTATAGATAATTGTATTGATTATCAATTGCAAGTGACATGCCTGATTATTTTGTTATGTTAAAGAGTAAGTGCTTCATAAATCTAGGGAGTGAATCATGGTAATGACACACCCTCAAAATCATAGACTGGTAGACTTGCTAAATACTCGTAAAAGTTCTTTTTTTGTGTATCTGCACTGAATACTAAAAACCAGTTGTATCTCACCTTGCAGCAAATAACTTCAGTGAGGAACTAGAAATTACCTTTATTATCACACATGGGAATTAAAGCTCTTCCATTTTAAATCTGCTTAAATTAAAGTGGGCAGTTCCATGTAACAAGGTGGATAGTCTGACTTTTTGTGGACAACATGTGTAATAAAGAGGTCCAAATCTTGTGCCATGCTGATAAGTGTATTTAGTTTCATTTGCAGAAAGTTGCCCTGGTAATGATATCTACTCATCTTGGCTAAGTTATGCAACTGCTCCAGTCTGTACGGCTCTCTTTTGGATCATATCTGGCTGGAAGCACTTAATCAGTCTCTTGACTTCTATGTGGACCTGGAGAGCCATTAGGAGATAGAGCTGTTGCTGAGGAAGGGGACCAAGCTTACACAGGCTGAGCTGGTTTTGAAACAAAGAGGTTTTGTTGCTTAGGGGTACTGACATATGATAAAAGAATTATTTGTAGTGACAGTAGCATCAGAACAAAGAAAGAAATAATGTATAATAGAAACCTCAGGTCATATGCTCATCTCTTCTAACATCTGTAAAGAAATAGGCTTCCCTGAAATGCAGGTGGTCCACAAAGAGAGGCATATAAAATGCCTAAATCAAAATACAAGCTTCAGGTAATGGCTGAAATAGGTCCCAAGAGGATCTCCCTTCCTTGAACCAACTCTGTACATGACAGCCTATAAAAGGGAGGAAAGAAACACAGATAATTTTACAATACTAGATGTGAGAGCTCAGCACTGCCAGCAGATGAGACTGCTTCAGACCTACTGTTGTTTTAGGAGAATCCAAAATCCAACACTAAATGATGCTAGCAATGGCACAGATTAATCTTATAAAACACATTTAACTATTAAAGGTCTTGACACAAAGGTGAAGTAATTCCAGCTGTTCTGCTGGACCACATAAAAGTCTTATATGATGTCTAACTAAGATATCCATACCACGTGCAAGTGACAGATGCAACCAGCATGATGGCAGATCAAGAGTTCTTGTAAATCTCATCAGAAGAGGCCATTTATTAAGGGTTTCATAATCTCCAGCTGTTTCATGTCAGCAGATCTGACTGAATTTCTGTGTTAATAGACCTTAAAAAAGCTTCTGTGACTATCTTAGTCCTTTTTCTAAATTTTTGGTTGTGGATGGTGTACTACAGGAAAGATAGTTGAAAAGTTCCTTGACACACAGACCTTATTTCCACCCCCATTTTGTTTTCTATTTGGCTGTATTCAGACATTTCCTGAGGAAAGCCTTTTCCAGCTGAGGAGCACAGACATTTTGAACACAACCCAGCACAGATATTTTGAACAACAGCAGGAAAGTATATGTGGAACTGCTTTTTATGTCACTTTTCACATGCAATAGTGATCCTGAGAGCAAGAAGTTGAACTTAAACTGAATGAATCGTCCTTTTCTGAACATGTGGAGAGTAGACTGAGGCAGTAATTCACATCTTCCCCAGTGAAGTTATAGTACAAGCTGTGAAAGCCATGGGCTGGATGTGTGACTCTGCAGTGACTTTCTCATAGTCCCTAGAGAATGAGTTCCCTCTGAACTGGGCCTGACCTAGATATCCACTGCAGTGTCATTGCAGACATCTTAAGACATTATAAATTACTGATAATCCTAGCCAAATTAAGTAAAGCAACTGAGCTGGTATAAATTGCACAGCTGGAATGAAATATTAGTTTCTCAAATGATATTCATGTTATTGTTATACCCATTATCTGATTATTACAGATGACAGTATTTATATATAATGAAACCAATGTGCTTTTTCTCAGTGTTCAAGCTTGTTCTGTGTTTTCAGTTAAAATCCTTAGTTATGGGAGTAATCATGAAGTGACAAGGGCTGACCTGAGGTCAGTACAGGCTGGGGGATGAGCAGATAGAGAACAGCCCTGCCCAGAAGAACTTAGGAGTGATGGTGGATGAGAGGTTGGACATGACCCAACAGTGTGCACTGGCAGCCCAGAAACCAAACATATCCTAGGTTGCATCCAAAATGGTATGGGCAGCGGGGCCAGGGAGGGGATTCTGCCCCTCTGCTCTGCTCTTGTGAGACACCAGCTGTAGTGCTCAGGGTACCAGGACAGGAAGGACATGGACCTCTTGGAGTGGATTCAGAGGAGTCTACCAAGGTGGTTAGAGGGATGGAGCACCTCTCCTGTGAAGGAAGGCTGACACAACTGGGATTGTTCAGGCTGGAGAAGAGAAGGCTTTGGGGTGACCTAATTGCGGCCTCCTAGTACCAGAAGGGAGCCTACAGGAAATATGGAAAGAGAATTTTAACATGCATCTGTAGTGACAGAACAAGGGGAAATGGCTTCAAACTGAAAGAGAGTAGGTTTAGACTAGATATTGGTAAGAAGTTCTTGACTGTGAGGGTGGTGAGCCACTGGAGCAGGTTGCCCAGAGAAGTTGTGGATGTCCCATCCCTGGAAGTGTTCAAAGACATGCGGCATGGAGTCCATGGTAGAAGGTTTGGAATGAGGTGATCTTTTAGATCGCTACCAACCTGAGCTGTTCTATGATTCTATGACTCTACTCTGGACAGTGCAGACTGTCTGATGTGAGTGCCACAACTTGATATTGAGTAGTCGATTGGCATGCCAGTACCAGCCATGGCTGGATTATGCCAGCTGCAGACCACAAGATTTCATGAGGCACAGGCCTGACATGGTAATTCTACAGGACTACAGCAAACAATTTCCAGTGAAAATGACATAGCAAAGAATCAGAAAATAGGACTTTGGAGGCACCAAGGAACCCCCTGAAAAACAATTCTTTAGCTATACTGAAGTAGCTCCACTGACTGCTGAAAAGTAAAGGTTAGAAAACATCTCTAAGGAATACAAATTGGTATTCTTCTTTATTTGGACTTTTTGAAGAAGAGTTGAGCAAGTTTTTTATATATATTTAAGGCTGTAGAATGAAAAAGTAATAAATAAAATCAACATAGGTGCAAAATTGGTCCATCACCTAGTGTTATTCTAACCTCCTCTGAGATTTGTAGTTCCTGACTAAGGATTTGTTTATAAGCTGGTGATACTTTGCTCTCAGTGCTACTTCAGTATCTGAGCTATTTAAATTAAAGTTAGCTTGCCTATCTCAACATTGCATTGCAGTCCTATACATGATGCCAGTGTAGATGTATACACCTCAGATCTGCAACATTCAGGTCAGTTTTGGTTTGTCAAGAAACTGTTAGAGGAGAATTCACAGGGAAAGAACTGTCTTAAAAATTTCTTCTTTCATTTCTGTTTTTTCTTGCACAAAGGGCAGTCTTGTATTTTCAGTCTGCATAGCCTCAGGCAATTCACATAGTACAGAATAATGCTATTCTATTGAGAAATGAATTACAGTGAGAGGTATTGGAGAACTCTGTAACCCTAGAGAACACCAAAAAGTCAGTGTTTCACAGAGGTGTTACAAAGTCACAGTAATACCTCTGTGAGGAAACCTACCTATTACTCACTATCCAGATTGTTCAGGAAGGACACGGGCTCAGAATTATATCTACTGAAACCTGGAGAATGTATTTAAGCATGTCAAGATCCATAACCTGCATGTTTTCTAGCCATATTAGTACCTGTCCTGCTTATGGACTAGTTTAAATTCTCTTTGCTCTTGGGACACTTTGCCCTCCTTCTTTTTTCAGTGACTTGAACACCTTTAGCTAGGGCAAAGGAGAGGGTAAGTGTCCCACTGTACTGCTATTACGCAGTGGTTTTGTGAATCTATTGACTTGGCCCAATTAGGAACAGGATCATCAGGAAACCAAATGTGTGCTGAAAGCCTAACAGGAATTTGTAGACCTGTTAAGGAAACTGCCTGGTCTGAGCATTCACAAGACTCTGGCAATCTGGGACCAAAGCCTCTCCACAGCTCCAGTGAGCCCACAGGTGCCCTGCACACCCCACTCACAGTCAGACCAGGTTTCCTGAGCAGTTTAGCCCCAGGTTTCCCATAGCAAAGTCTGAGACGTCTCATTCCATAAAACCATTTATTCACAGCGCAGTAACACAAAACCAGCCCAGGCTGGTGCCTCTGAGGAGAAATCCCCAACAAAGGAACCCTGGGCTCTTATACCTTCACAGTCTACCCAGGCACAAGTCTTGCTCTTTTTCCTGAGTTCTTGGCTCCTGCTGTGTCTCCCAGGGTCCATCCACCTGGCTGGCACTACCTTCTTTGTGCCAAA